TTTCCATATGTGTAATAAAATTTTCTAATATCTTAAATTTTTATTTTAAATAGATAAATAGAACAAATTTAATTATAACTTTGAAAAATACAACAACCACAAAAATGTTTGACATTTTTTTTGCTGAACAATATTCTTGTTTCATTTTTAACTATAGATTAATAATTACAACAGATAATATTTTATTTAACATCAATTATCACAATAAAATTAATAAATAAAATATTGATAGATACAAAAAAACTATATAAAATGCAACAACTCATTATCATTCTTCATCAATTACGTATTATTCTGATCATTTTACATCAGTTTAAGAGAGAAAAATGAAGATAATAATAAAATGCTTATACAAAAAAGTATTCTTATTAGTAGACAACTTAATATAATTGTTTTTTGTTATTATTTTTAATTAATCAATGTTTTTCTCATCCATAACTTGTAACATCTAGATTATCAACAGTTATGAATTACTCGTTTCCTTATGTTCTTCAGTAATCATTAAATTAAAAATGATTTGTCAAATAGTATGAAATCACTAAAAAATCATCTTGGTCGTTCAATAACACTGTTTTATTTGATCTGGTAAATTGATGAAATCTGATTTTACATATAATGAAAGAATTCATTAGTGATCAATCGTTTTCGAATGAAAGATTTCAGTTGCTGATCCTATACTTTGTCGAGATTGCCGATGGTTTTTTAATAAGAAGTTAATTTGTTAATTAAATATTCTGATTATTGAGATAAAATATGATCGTTCTTATGATTGACCATCTCTTTACTTATGGAAATTCAGTTTTCAGACAAATAAGTCTGGCTTTTCTAAATAAATCTTTTAAATATGAAACAAACACTGACTGATAGTAGACAATAATATATTTTGATAAGAAAGCGACTAATTAAATAAATCTCATGAAGACTTTTTTGAATGTTGAAATAGAAAAATTAGAAAGCTTCTCTCTATCAAAGTTTTCAATCAACTATTACTTCAAACATTCGATTTACTTGTAATTTATCTTCAATACCAATGAAGTTTATATAAAAATATGAATTTAATGCCTATAGCTAAACTGCTGTAGTAACAACATCTGATTTGACCAAAATATTATGAAAAAAATAATAATGATGCTATTGTTGTTTTTCAAAGATTGATATAGTTAAATCAATGCGTTTTACCTATGACAGTAACGGTTAAAGAATTTCCATTAAATAGTCGTTATGGATTTACTGTTTATGCAATAGTAACTAACAATAATATTGGTGATTTTTGTGAATCAGAATAACTTTTATGTTAAATACACTAATTCAATCATTTAATATAATCATCTAAATTGTTTGGAATATTATGTTACTGAAATATTCTTATTTCGTTTTAGTTTGCTTTTTTTTTTCTTATACTTTATATACAAAAAATATTTATTATATGAGAAAAAAATGATATATTATTAGTTTTTTTTGTGACAAATGTCTAATAAATTACATTAAAGAATTTATTAAATTAGCAAAAAAAAAAAACTTTCATTTTTTTTTTCTAAATCTTGAGTATGTTTAAAAAAGACAAATAAATAATATTAAACTTGCTATTATTCTTCAAATACGGTAACGTTCAAGAAAAAAATACTGTCAAACGTTTGAAAGTTTCTCTTAGTGAAAACGTTGAATATTGAAATTTTTTTAAATTATTATTTATATATGTAATATATTTTACAACTACAACATTTAATAAAAGCTTTGTTCTAATTTTGAACCAATAAGAGTGAATAATCTGGTTTTCTTGCAACCGTTCAAACAACTTTGAGTTTACATGTCAATTGTATGTTGTCCTTATCAGGTCAAAACTGACACCATATTATTCTAATAATTTCGATCGAGCTTTATCAAAAATTGTCGAATTCTTTTAAATAGGATTTTAACAGTCGAACATTATAAGATTACCATATTATTCTGGCATTTTTTGACAATAGGATTCGACTGTCGAAATCCTATACTAAAGAAATCATTGGATTTAGCCTAGATCATATCTGATCTGACGAGTTTTTCGATAAGACCCGACACGATCCGATGTCATATCTCTCATCCTAGGTTTGTTCAAGAATCTCTTCAATTCATCGAGATTTACGAGTATTCTCCAAGGAAGTCGCTCGAATGCAAAGTACTAGGATTTATTTGATATCATCAAGTTTGTTCTAGCCGATGGTCAAATGGTGATTTCGTTCTAATACAACTGAAAAAACGCTTTACTAGCCCAGATCCTACACGGAGCTTTCCTGTTAATCTAGGTAACCTTATATCAGATAGTATGAACAAAGATCTTTGTTACACGGACAGGTTGTGGTTGCACTAAGACAATCATTTCTCTAGTAATGTAAAATGACTGATTGATCTGCTGATGAACAGTAAGCACTTGAATGATACGTCATCTTCTTGAAACTCAACAATACTTTCGGCAATCTGCCAATCTCATTAGATGCATAGAGCTACTGACTAACTTTTGCCAATAGGTCTAAAGTGGTCACTTGAGAAACTAAGATAACAGGCTTCAACGAAACCTGTCTGCCAAACGGTAATTTTTTTTTAATACTCAATCAAAAAAAAAATTTATAAGAGAAGATTCCCCAGAAAATCGGGTAACATGACGGGAAAATTTTTTCATTTTTGATTTAAGTATCTTTAAAAAAGCCCATTAGAATTAATAGCAAATCTAAAATTTCAACTCAATTTGATAATCCCTTACTGAATTATGCAGTACACACTGACAATAGGGTCCAGAGAGCTATAAGAAAAATAATTATTTTTCGCACTTTTTAATGTTTACAAAATATCCTCATCATTTTGACCGTTACCATACGAATAACTTCAGACAAAGGAAAGAGCATCTTTTTTGTTTCTTCTATCCCATATATTTTTCAAGTGTTCATAAGCATTATTGTGGAAAAAAAGTCGATAAAGCATCTCTTACTGAAAAAATTCTTGTTTTTTTTTCCGCAACTTCTTTTATGTAATTTGGTTCTTAAGATGTGAAACTGAGGGTTCACCACAAGTTTGAGTATATTAAAAGAAAAAATCTTGAAAAACTACGTCTTCTAGTTTAAAAATATTTGGGAAAAAAAACACCAAACGGTTCAACAACGTTTTTTGAATAATGAGTACACTTTCGCCCTCTTTATGCTGAATTTTTGTCATTTTTTTTTCATCCTGATTCTTTTTTCGTCACAATTTAACCTAATATTTGACTCAATAATAATCTATCAACTTATGTTTATCAAATATAGTATTATGCAATGCTCTTCATCTCGAACAACAATTGAATTTAATCAAAGATAAAGAATGTCGTTTAGTCCATTTTCAACTTAAGAGATAAATTTCAAGAGTCTATCAATGTTGTGTCAAATATTTTTAAAAAAAAAAAAAGAATATGTATTACTGATTGCGAAACTAATCTAAATAAAAAGTTGAAATACAAGATGAATCAGAATTTGAGTCATACTATCAATGATAATCTTTTAAACTTGACTAAACACAAAATTTGGATATAATGTTTTAAAATTCATCTTATTAAAAAATTTCAATTATTAAAAGTGAAAAATTATTTAATTAAATAATAAAAAGATCTCAAAAGGATAAAACTGGTATGTTGATTTATATTCTCTTGGCTTTCTTCTTTATGAATATCTCGTTATAATCATATGTAATAGGATGATTCTTTATTGCTTTTTATAATTCAAATATAAATTTCCGATTTTCTGCAATAGTAACATTAAGAAAAACAATTGTGAAATAGACGAAAAACAGTGAATTGAATATCATTTAAGTTTTTTTTCATAATACAAGTTTGTAAGTCCTTGAAAACAAACTTTATCTGTTTATATCAAAGCAAAATAATATGTTGAGAAAAAATTTGAACAGGCATTATAAATCAATAAGAAGTTTGACTGATAATTATTTGAAAAAAGTGCTGTAAATGGGGAAAAAAAACATATTTTTTGTTAATATCAATTGTTTTCTTTGTGTCAAACTGATTTTTATAAGAGAAAAATGTTTGAAGTTGCAATTGATTATTCTTTTTATATTTTATATAGATTAATATGCATGATTTATTGAAATCAGAATGTTATCAATAGATCTAATAAAAAATACGATTAAAAATAACCTTCCCTTCGTTTAGTTAAATGTTACTAAATCAAAAAAAAGAAAACAACAAATGTTATCAAAAAACAATATGTCTAATTAAAAAGAATTCTTTCTCTTACTTGTTTCTTCAAATTTAACCAATATTAACTGTAATTAAACGTATATGTTGTAATAAAATCTATTATAGAATATTATTCATGGTTCAATGAAATTAAAATCAGTTTAGTCTCGTACAAATGTTCATTTTTTGATAAAATATAATCTTTGTTTGAGCAAAATAAAGAATCTATCACAATATTGTTCGAATATTTTTCTATGATAATGAATAGATTTGATAATTCTAAGAATATTATAAAAATATTAAAATCACAACGATTCCTTCCTTATTGAACTATTCGAGAATTAAAATAACACTGAATTCAATTGAAATTATTCTAGACTCAAACTTGATGAATCATTTTGAATGATTCAATCATTAGTTTAATCGAGTTAAAGTTGTAGATAAAATAGAATTATAATAATAAAATGTATTATCGTATGTATTAAAATCAGTAAAAAATTTTCAAGACAAAGGTTTTATTCGTTTAAAACAAAGAAAAAAATTGAATATATTTACAGTCAATAGTTAATTTATTACAATAGTGAAATAAATAATATCGTCTGGGTTTTTTTATAAAGATCCATTATAATTAGAAAATTTGAAGACATAATTCGTTATTATTTGTTTTAATCCATTCTCAAAACAAATAAATATAAATATTTCATTGTTTATCATAAAAAAAAGCACCACTCAAAATGAAAAAGAAAAGAAAAGAAAAGAAACGAGACAATGATCTGGTATTCTCTTTTTTTTTAATATGACTAGATTATTCATGGCGTTGAAGGTTATAATATGAAGATTGATCTGATTGATAAGGTATAGTAAATTTGCGAACAACTGGTGGAGAAAATTCTTTTTTTGCTGAATTCAATCTTGGAAAATCATTTTTTAATTGTTCAGTAACACCTGTTACTACTTTTTCAATAAATTTTTGTGAATCAATTGTATTATTTGAAAATTTTTGTCGATTATGAAATGATGGTGTTGATATTAATGATGTTGATGATGATGATCGATGAGAACTTTCAATTATTGTTGATCGATTATTTGTTGTTAATTGTGTAACTGAATTATTTTGATCAATTTTAGTTGAAGATTTTCCTGTTCTTGTTTCTGTTCCTGATGATGAACTATTAAAATCAATCGAAAGTAAATCGTTCACTATTTTTGGTGAAGTTTTTGGAATTGGTGGTGGTGCTCGAGTTATTATTGGTGTATCTTTCTTTGATCCATTTAATTGAAGAACATTTGATACAACTTAAATTTTTAAAAAAAAAACAAACAATTTATATTGTCATATCGAAAATAATTCAGGAATAGAAAAAATTCTAAAGACAAGTCATTATCAATATTGTGTACCTTAGCAATACAATAATAAACGATAGAATATATTAAATTTTTTATATTATATTGATAGTCAAACTGTGAACTATTTCGAAGTTATTATCTTAACTTATTTAATTTTAAAATATGACTCATTAGAAACTAAAAAATGATTAATCTTCTCGGTATTTATGATTCGTGAATAGTGTTATTTTCTTTTAAATCTGTTCTTATCTCTTATCCAGAAAGATAAAATGAAAATATACATAATAAAACATTTTATCAACTAAAATCTACTTTGTAATAATAAATCTTCAAGATCTCGAACAACAATTAGATCTTTTTCCTAAAAAGTCAAAAATCATATATATATATATGTAATAGTTGTCCTTCCATCACTTTCAATAGAATCCTTTCAACGCGTCTCTGTTTATTTAAAAATCAAAATTATTATAAAATATAAATTAAACTATTTGAAATTTTATATCTTTGATTAATGAATTAATAAAGTACACAATGATGAAAAAAAAAATGAATTATTCTAGTTCATTTTATTCTTGAGTAATTAAAAAAAAAAAACTAACTCACTTTGTACATTTTCATTTCTTTCATTCGTATCGACTGGTGTGACTATTGGATTACTTAAAATAGTTCTAAAATAAAATTGTCAATATATTTATGTAAAAAAAAAAAATGTCAATATAAAATACTCGTCAATTTTATCTATTTTCCCCCATGAAGGTCCTTGTCCAGTTCCATCACTATGACCAGTATGAATAAAACTTCCTCGAACAGGCCAACTTATTTTTTCATTTGTATTTGTTGTTGTTGATGAAAGACAAATCCTTGGAAAAAAGCCAACTTTTTGTGTTCGATGATTTTGTCCTTGCCATATTGGTTTATCAACACTTGAATCAAAAACACTAACAGTATCACCACGTAGTAATGTTAGTTGATTTATTTGTTTATTATCACGTGTAACTCGATATTGTATTGGACGACATTGATTTAAACGAGAATTTATTTTACTAAATTTAGGTCGATCATTTGAATTTAATGACCAACATAATAATAAAAGAGAATAGATTGATGGAGGACAATATTCAGGACATCGAAGACGTTCACCACGTTCTTCTAATGATTTTAAAATCTTTAATAAAATAATTATATTTAAAAACAAAACAAAAAAAGAGTATATATATATATATATCAAACCTCTTGTACAGAAAGACCAGACCAAGGATTTTCAATACCGAAAGTAAACATTTCCCAAACTGTCACAGCAAACATCCAAACATCAGTTGATGATGAAAATTCTTGTCGACGAAGAGTTTCTGGTGCACACCTATTTATTAATCATTTAAATAAAATAAATAGATAAAGATATACATTATATATATATATATCTATAGGGCATTTTATTGATAATTATTCCGTTAAATTTGTTCTTTCTTTCTTTCTTTGTTTGAGTATAAATGCTCTTTCTTTGTATGTTTGTCCCGCCAAAACTAATGAGTATCGCTTCATTTGTTTGGATTTATTATATAGATGAACAGTTGTATTCAACATTTGACTTCTAACCTATTGGGTACTCTTCTCATCAATCATCATCTCTAGAGAGGCTTCTATTACTAAATGTAGACAAAATAAACAAGACATATTTCTCATATTATTGTTAAGTTGTTCTATATTCATAATGACATCATTCAATCACGTCGGCACAATACGATAAAAAATAGTTCATCTTTTATCGGAATCACGTATGTATGAATATTTTCATCTTTCATCTTTTTTCTTTTTTCTTTTTGAACATATGTTTTAAATTGAACATAGAACTTGACAGTAATTATGATGAAACAAAAAAAAAAGGAAGAGTTCTTGTGTGTTCCAAAATAAATAAAGAATCAATGTGTCAATATAAACATTGGCATGAAGTTTAGCTTCATTTACATTTACTCAATAAGAGAGGAAGTGACATTTATCTATGATTGCAGGAGAGAAAAAAGAACATGTTGTGAACTCTATCTTATATAATAAGTGAGAAACGATCGTCACTTTTCTTTTTTTTTTTTCGTTTTGTTCAGTAGAGACATACAAGACAGGTAGATGTGTCTTGTTTAATCAATGATAATCTTATCCCGCCTATATTTTATTTACTACATGACACACATTTTATTCTTCATTGTTGTTTTTCTTTTTGTTCATAATATATGAAAAAAAAGAAAGTTTTCTTTTGAGATAAATTTCATATGTATAAGTTATTTGGTAATTTTTTTATTTTCAAGGTAAAATAGACCGTAAAAATAACAAAAAAATAAGTATCGATCAATTAGAATTTTCTTTCTCTTGTAAAAATATTTAGGTAAGTAATTGAAAACTACTTCAAATATCTTCGTTTTCTAATAAATACAATTTACATTTTGAGAGAATAACTAGAATGTTACCATGAAAGTAAAACGACGCTATAAATTAAGGTAAATTATTTTATTATAAAAAAAAAAGATCTTTTTTTCTAATGATAATAATAACAAATTTGAATAATCAACAAGTTATTGATTAAGAATGTGAGAGAGAGAGAGAGATGATCTAATATTGATTTTGTTTTTGTAAAGAAATGAATTTGAACATGGAATTGTTATGTATTCCCTATTATCGAAATAATAGGATTTTTTTTATTAAAAGAATAAAAAATGAAGTAAACCCAATATGTGTCTAATTAAACATGAGTATGAACATATTGAACAATGTTCATTCTTATTCTCACATTTGACATGCCTTCGTTCCTATTATAAAACAAATATGAGAAATATGAGAAAGAATGAACGAAAAAAAAAATGCATTGGAAGAGAACACACTCTTCTATATTGACTTCATTCATTTATCGTATTCTTTCCCCTTTTTTTTTTTTTTTTTTTTATCCAACTTGCAATAGTTGTTGCTTGACAACCAAACAAGAGAATATTCGTTCTTTTGAAGGTTATCGTTTTTTTTTTCTTATTCTGAGCATTTATACATCTTAACATGTTCTAACATAGATTTATATTAGTCATTATAATATATAGATTATATTTAGAAAAATGGATTTAGAAGTTGAAATTCCAATATGGTATAATGGAAAAATGAAATGGATATCAAATTTAACAAGACGTTCAACATGTTTTGATGTTATTCAAGCAATATTATCAACAGATGAAAATAATATTTGTCAATTAAATGAAGATTATATTATATATGAATCATGGTGTGGTGTTGAAAGACCATTAAAATCTCGTTGTCGTTTATTAAAATTATGGAATTCATGGGCTGGTGAATCACAAAATGTTACATTAACACTTCGAACACATCAACAAAATTCTAATTCAAATTCAACACATTTTCTTATTCGACAACAAGATAAAAAATTAGAAAAATTAAAACGTCAACTTAAAAAAACTGATAAACAAATTGAAAAATTTACAAATATTCAAAATGATAATAATCAATCAATGTTATCTTATTTAAATCTTTATCGTTCAATAATAAATACACAAACAAAACTTGAATATCAACAAAATTTAATATCACGTTTAATATATGATATTGAAAATGAAAATGAAAATGAAATTAAAATTGATTTTAATCAAGATAATTTTAAAAATATTTTATCTGATGTTAATTATACATTAATTATAAGTAGAAAATTAACTGAACAATCAGAACAACTTGATCAACAAATAAATAAAATAAATGAAGAAATTGATAAAAAACAATATTTATTAGATGAATTAGAATTAGATTATGCACTTGATCAAAATATTGATATTGATAGTCTTGATGATGATGATCATCAAGATAAATCAAACTTTTTATTTAAACAAGAACGTGTTAGTACTAAAGATATTTCACCATCACCATCACCATCACCATCACCACCCAATTTTACTCACAAAACACAAACAGGTATTACAATAAAAAAATATTTACAAATAAAAAAATCTTCATTCTATTTATCACAGTTCGAGCTCGTCGAGTTCAACATTTTCGATTCGATCAAATTTTCTAATCGAAATTTAATTATCATTTAAAACTTATGATATATTATTTTTTGTTTTTTTTTTTGTATTTGATGACTAGTGTACCCGAAATATTTCTCAGATAACCTGGAACTTATTTTTATCTATAAATTTCGAACTCAAACTTGACGAGATTCGGAATCAGATCGACAGACTTTACTCATGAGGAAAGATCTCCAACAGATTCATGCCGTTTTCAATTATATTTTATCCATATGTTGGGACAGTGGCGTACGCAGAAATTTTTCAAGGGGGGCCGGCCATGGCACAAAAAATTTTTTATCACGTGAAAATATTTTTTCCTGTACCCCCCTCCAGGACTTTTCGTCTCAAGGGGGGGCCCGGGCCCCCTCGGCCCCCCCCCTGCGTACGCCACTGTGTCGGGAACAATATTCTAAGAAAAATCCTAACAGGATTTGGGCTTCCTTCGAAGATTATAATCATTTTTTCTGCTTAGTGTATAGTCTAAAATTGACTTTTTTTTTTAAAATTGAATATGTCCAAAAGGAAACATTTTTTTTTCGGTTGAAACTTTTGAAGTGTTCTAATGATCACAAGAGCAATATTTCAGATTGAAATTCCGCCATTCTATTTTAGACTATACACTAAGCAGAAAAATGATCATAATCTTCGAAGGAAGTCCAAATCTTCTTTGGATTTTGTTCCCCAACATATGAACAAAATATCATTAAAAACGGTGTGGATCAGTTGGGAATTTTTCCTCGTCAGAGTATAAAGTTTTTATTATATTTTACAGTAAGAAGATATTAATCCTATTCCATAATACCTTTTATTTTAACCTGCATAAAGTGTGAATAGTAGATGAATATATAGAATTTCTTGTTTTAATCAAAGTTTTTTATTTTATTTTAATTAATATCATATATATATATATATTATAGTAATATCTCGTCCAACAGCAATAGTTGAACCAAGTCTATCAAGAAGTAGTAAATCAAAATCATTTTCTGATCAACCTTCAAAAAGTCGAGTACAAATTCTTCCTTTTCCTATACATAATTATAGTCCATGGTCAGTATCAACAAATGATGAATCTGATACTGGTATTAGTTCATTTAATTCAAATGATGATCAATTAGTTACGCTTGTTTAAAAAGAAAATTTCGTCTTACCAAGCAACTGGAATTGATTGGCTTTTAACTGTTCCTGTTTTGTACAAATTACAATCTGAATCAATCATTCTTGCTAAACCAAAATCTCCAATTTTAATCTAAAACATTTGTTTGTTTTTTTATTTAAAATAAAATAATATATTAAATGAAAATCAAAAAACCTGTTCATAAGAAGCAAGAAGAATATTTCTTGCAGCTAAATCACGATGTACAAATCTTCTTTGTTCTAAATAATCCATTCCTTCACTTATTTGTCGTGTATATTCAACAAGCATATATACAAGAAAATGTTTTGGTTCATCACGTAATCGAGATAATAATGAACCAAGTGGAGCTAATTCTGTCACCTTTAACAAAATAAATATATATTTATTCATTTTTTTTTTTAAACTAAAACAAATTACCATCATTAATGGTTCGGAAAGAACAATTCCATAAAGACGGATTAAATATCGATGTGATAATGTATGCATTGCATTAGCTTCTCGAACAAAATCACTAACAGCATTACAACCATGAAGAATTTTAACTGCAACAGGAAGACCATTCCATAGACCTTCACGAACTAAACCATAATGACCAGAACCTAATGTTGTTGATAATTGAAGAGATGATGGAGATATCAGACATGATGTTGTCAATGGTGAAGAAGCTAATGGCTATTAAAAAGAATATTATTAATAGAAAATATTTCTTTCTTTTTCTAAACTAACAGTATTTGAATTTTTTTTTGTATTTGATCGTTGTTTTTGTTTAACAGCAGCAAATAATCGTCTTATTGCTGGTTTACTTAAACCGATTCGTTCAAGATCATTTGTTTGGACATATTGAAAATGTGAAAGTCTTTAAGAAAATTTTTTCTAGAAATTATTCTCATCAAAAAATAGAATTTACTTTGTCACTTGAAGGTCATCTCGAATTCGTGATAAATAAGCTGAAAGATCTGTTTCAGCTAAAACTTCAATAACTCGGTGAAGACCATCATCGGTCTCTCCCATTATTTTGATTTACGATTTATTGACGAATGAATCGGATCAAGTTAACGACGACGAACGACAGGTAAAAATATCAAAGCATGACTCATATTTATCCTGTCACATTTTGTCTTTGGATCATTTACACAAACAAATCACTAGAAGATAATTCTTTCAACTTTTTCATTAGTGATGTTTATTGATCAATATAAACTCAATAATTGATATGGTCTTCCATTTTATTCTTTCTTTTTCATCCTCAAGATGGCGCTATTGGACAATTTCTAGAGATCTTTTTTTTCTTTCATACATAGATATTTCAATATGACAATAAATAAACTAGAAACACATTGATTTGTTAGAAGATAAAATATAGCAGACTAGGATTCGAAAAAAAGAAAGATATACACTTTTGAAGATTCAAACTCCTAAATCACAACACACATCTAAAGCTTCTTATAATTTTTCCAGTTTTTTTGCGTTTTGAGAGTTCTTTGATTTTTGAGAATTATTTCAATATTTAGAGTTTCTTGAGTCTTGAAAGTTGTTTGAGCATTGTTTAGCTGTTATTAATGATTGGTTATGTTTGATTAATATGTGAGTTTGAAAAACCTGAAATGTATTTTAATTCTTATTTCCACAATAACAAGGATAGATGTAGTAACAGTTTCCAAGAATAAAAGAGTTTTATTTTCATTTATTTCAAAATACAAACATATAATTCCTTCATTTATAGAATATATGTACTCTTTCACTTTGACATACAGACTAAACAGAAACATGAAACTATATCTGCTATATCGTTCTCTGTTTAAGGTTATTTCAGTAGAGACTATAAATTTACAATGCATCAATATATTTATATTCTTTGATTACATCAATAACAGCTTGTATATAATAGTTAGAACAAAAAGAAAATGATATGATTACAAGTTTTTCAAAAATTCGAAACGATCTGTACACATAAATAAGAATCAAATGAGATCGATTATTTCAACAATAAAATGTTCATCATTTTTCTTGGAGACTAATAACGACAAGAACAAAAACGAAAACAATCATTTGAGATTGAACAATATCCTCCATGTTTATAACCTGTTTCAATACATAAATCATAACATTTTTTATTTTGTAATTTTGTTGGACGTCTTGTTTGCTGTCCAAAACGTTGTATAAGTGATGTACAATGTTTGCCTTTGGTTTCATTATGAAGACATGTATTATTTTTTCCATCAATCGTCAATAGAAAAAAACATAAAACAAAGACAAGAATTAATTGCATTGTATTCATAAAAATGAATTACAATTAGAAAAGAAAAAGCGAGAGTAGAAGAAATTTGATCCGATAAAAGAAACAATAGCTTTATTTGTTTGAGTTTTTTTGCCTTTAACAATTTTTGCAATTTCGATCATCGATAGATCATCTTTGTCTTAATCATTGAGTATTTCAAAAATTAAAAATCATCTATAGTTCATAAACACAAAATATACTCAGTTTTGAAAAATCATGCTCGAGTCATTATCACTAACACCTTGATCTTGAAGAATTATACTCATTAAAACCTTATTAATTTCCATTTGATTCGCTGATGATCTGCCAAGGTTGAAGGTTTATTTCTTGTTTGAAGCCACAATAATCAGGTGTCTTTAGAATCATCTGTTAGTAAATATCAAAAGACTTTTGGAGATACTTGATTATTTTTTGTTAAACAAGAAATAAACTTTTTCTCTTTGCCAGATTATCAACATTATATGAGTACTATAACTAGCAAAAAAGAAATCAAATTTTTCTGATATACTATAGAGACTGATTGATTAAAAATAGCATTGAGACATCCAACCAGACTGGCCAACCCCATATATATTAATTTTCACTTGATATTTATCCATAAACTATTGAAATGAAAAGAGACTGGATGTAAAAAAAAAACAACAATGGCCTTGATTGTTGACGTCGTCTAACACTGCCCTATCAAAGTTGTATATTTAAATTCGATGTTGTCGGAAAATTCATACCTTGTATAGCTTCATAGGAAAACATTCATTATTAATACGAATTACTGTTGTTTGTGTATTAAAATAGACTATTGGAATAGCTCGAAATAATAAATCCATTCATAAATGAGTATTATATTGCGATAACATTTGTTATCTGACAATTTCAGAAACACAAGCTTGAGAGTGTGAGACATTTTAAGGCAAGTTTATGAGTAAAAGTGGGATGTGAAGATGAATATGTTGGATGAAAGTCTTGATATGGGCTTCCTTAGTGATGAGTGAGGATAGCTGCAAGAGCTAGGAATGATAGCGCAAGTAATGATTAAATTTAATAAATATTCTTAAACGTAATCACGTTCAGTCTCATGTATTTGTACAGATCGTCAAGCATGTCATAGGAATCGTCCATGCAATGAAAAAGTTACTGAGAACGAAAAAAACATTTATCATGGGACTCCTCCGCTAAGCTTTATTTTTGTAGTGTGATGAGTTCTTTGATGCTTTTGTTACATTTTTTTCATTTTATAACTGACTACTATAGTGATCCCTAACATAATATGTGAGAATATATATAGCTATTTATTTCAAGAATTAGTAAAATGCGTTTCTATGTTGATAAAGTTATTCAGAAATGATTTTTCTAGATAAATTTTAAAGTGCCAATTGGAATTGATCTGCCAAAAAAAATCTTCCATATTACTTTGTTTTACTTAAGAATAATCGAGAACATCGATGACGAAAATGAAATAAAAATACGTCATATGATTTGTTTACTTTGTGAACAAAGCGAAATTTTTGACTTATTTTGAGACAAATTAAAGAATTCTTCCAACATGTGAATGCATGATTTTATCGCAAAGTAAACGAAAAAAAAAATACGACAAGCAGGTTGAAAAAAAAGGGAAGTGAAGAACAATTATTTATAAGTTTTTTCTCTCGGATACTTCATTATATAAAATGTTACTGCTTAGAATCAAAGAATGGAAGATTCAAAAATGAGTGCTAATCAAACATCCTTGCCATCTATAACACACGTCATGGTTTCTGGCAACATTAGTAAAGAGATACTATCAGATCAATTTACCACCGATGATGATGATGACCAATACTCTAATAGGCAGTATAAACCTTTTAGTTATTATGGTAAGTACATCAGTGGAATATATTTTGTCTTAACAATCAGGCATCCTTCGAACTGGATTCAACGCTCAGCAGATCAGGAACAAACCAAAAACTTTGATTTAGGAGAACTTGAAAATGAAGGACGAGATTTCATTTCTTTTCTTTCGCATTGTTTGCTAGATGATATATATCAAAATTTTCATTTTTTAGATTATCGTGATATATACGGACAGATCATTGAACATTTTGGTCGAGCTGAACAGTATTGTCTAGAAGGCAACAATGATAAGGCTGTTGAAGAATACAAACAAACGATGGTTTATTGTATGAACTTGAAAGATCGTTATCAGAGATCGAAGGAAAGAGTAGGCTGAAACTTATTTTGCTTATCACCCAGTTACTTCATATTTTAGAGATACGAACACATACGACAACTAAATCTGCTAATAGTGGAATGTCAAAGGAAAATTGATGCATTGACTATGACCCACTCACCATCAGTGAATGATCGGTAAATGTTTATTTTCAGTCGTTTGTTCAGTTCATTTTATTTCATGACATCTAGCTTCACTTCATCGGTGACCACCAACGAAGACAATCAATTGAATCTATCGAGTTTTTCTTCAGGCGTTGATAAAAAAACGTCAATACATGATAATAGAGATAATCTAATGTTGTATAGAAGTGAGATGATTATTTTCCTTTTTGAAATCTTGCATATGTTTTCCTTATGTTTCCCAGTTGTGTTTCCTCAATCAATCTTCATGAAATCGACTGATTCTAATTCCGATGATGAACCAGATCCTGACTATATTCTTTCTCCGTAAGCAATTCTTGCCTTGCTCATCATTAGAATGATTAGAATGATTTTTTTTCCCTAACTACAAAATTCTTTGTGCATTGATCAAGAATCTCAATGATGATGACACCAGAATCTGCTTCTTTCAAATTATACCGATGAACTTTATCAAATCCATTGAAAGCAAATAATTTTGTTTGTTCTAGAGATGATCTTCTATTAACACGTGAATGTGTTGTTTGTATGAGAGCCAATTCTCTTGATCAATTTGAAAAATCTTACAGTAATGAATGCCAACATGTCCAACGTACTGTTTGTAATAGATGCGTGTATCAGCATATAAAACATGTACTGAAAGGTGAATCAAGAAATAATGTCTCTTGTCCTGAGCCTAATTGTCCAGTCCATTTTACTTATGCAACAATTCGTTCGATTCTTTTATCTCATGGTGCGACAGACTTATTTCATAAGTATGACGATCAATTGGCACGACAATCTTTAGAACAAAATCCTAATTATTTTGTATGTCCATATTCGGACTGTCGTTTGGGTCAATTTCAAGATATGACTAGAAATACAACAGCATGCATTACTTGTGTTTACTGTCAACGGATGATCTGTTCGTTTCATCGAACAGTATGGCATACAGATATGACTTGTGATAAATATGATCAATGTCAAACTTCGGCAAATCATTCAACAAAATTGTGGTTAAAACGACATACTAAATTGTGTCCGAAATGTCGACGTCCAATCGAGAAAATATTGGGATGTGATCATATAACATGTATATGTCGATATGAATTTTGTTGGGAATGTCTCGCTAATTTTCAACGAATAAAACAGCATGGACTTCATCATCATCGAATAACATGTAGTCATTATTCTATTAGAAACGTTGTATGTACTCTTTTGTAAAATGAATATTCGAGAAAAAAAAAATTACTTAACTTTTTCTAGTCAATTGAATATCTTGTGTTTTTGTGTCAATCGAAAAAAACATAAATGAATGCAAGTCGATCGCTGATATGAAATCATATGTAGATCGAAAGAAAAGAATTTTTTTCTCTCGATTAATTCTATTCGAAAATCTAAATCGAAACAGAAATAACTTCAAAATATCATTTTCGAAAATCTCTACCAAGAACTCACTTGATTGGTTGATTGATAACTACTCTAATTTCGATATAGTTCGATGGTCTCGAATCTTCTCTCTTGAATAGTGAAAATTGCAGGTCTCTCAATTAATTCGATAGAGAAAAGATAAACATCATCCTATGAAATGAACCGAAAGAAATCATAAAATACTATGTAATCGGTACCTTTTATGATATTTGTTTCCTTTTGCAGAGTTAGTTTCAATACTGTTTTCAGGTATGTCTCTTACTGAAAGATAAGACATGATAGAACTTTTCTGAACATACAGTTAGAAAGATATCTCGGATGTCACCGATAATTTATTTAGACAATTAAAATATGGATCGAAATTTGTCTAGACAGTTTTTCATCACTCGTTCGTAGTAATCATCTTTGTAAACTTTATACATTTGATTTTGTCAGCTACGATAGAAAAATGAATATTAGTTAAACAGGAGCATTGAGATTTTACATTTCGATGCTATGAGCAATTCAATTCATGATCAAACATCAAATTGTTGAAGATAATTCTGTTATTATTTAACATTGATCACTTTTATCGATGAAAGACATAATGAATGATTATAGATTAGAAATCTTTGCAGATACAAATTTAATGTATATAAAATAAGTGTGTCTGGAAAAAACATTTGCATAGAAGAATAAATCGAAACTGTTTCTGTTCAAGTAAATATCTAAAACTTATGTTCCTATTAACCATAATATCCAAAGATTACCTTTAACCTTTTAAGTCAAACCAATGTTCAATCAACTAATGTAAAAAATATGTTTCATTTTTGCTCAGTGATCATTAAAAATATCCGTTCATAACTTCTGTTTTCTAGATATATATACAAAACCTAAATATTTAACTCGGTCTAATTAGACAAAAACAAACTGATAAAATCAAAAAATCATGTATGTGACTGAGAATAAATTAGTTAAAAGAATTCGACTTCTGTCAGACCCCAATTGAGTCATGTCAAAAAGATTTCAACCACTAAAAGTACTCTGTGAACTGTTGAGATATTTTCTGAAATAAAAATCCTGTTTTTAAGTCCATAAAAAAAAAAATCTTTAGTAATATTTGTTGCGAATATTTCATTTATTTATTGGCATATAAGATTTTCATATTGATAATTGACTTGAGCGTGATTTATTAAAATTTAATTCTGAAAAAGTTGCTCAAAATAAATATTAGATAAAAATTGATTCTTAAATATCATATATACCAATCAGCTTTGTTACTCTATATATTAATTTAATATAATATATTCTTTTGACAAATTTTCTAATTAATAATAATAATTGACGAACATGTTTAGAATTGTTTACATTCTTAACAATTAGAGTTTCGTTATTCTTGAAAGATTTCGAAAGTTTTTTTTTGTTTCTACAGAGAAATTACAGTTGAAAACATGGTTTGAATCTTCGAATTACAAGAAAAAATACTCGTTCGACCGTAATACTATCTGTAGATTACATATTTCATTATAACTAATATATAAATAAATAAAATATATATGCACTCAGTGAACATTGATTGTACGAATCATCACAGCCGGCTTATACCACTTGCCACTTCTATCAACGATATAGTCAACGGATTAGTTTCCTTTCAGCATCGTTCATTTCAATGCTCTCATACTTATAATTTCATTAATATAATTTCTCATCATCCTTATCAAAGTTTATATTTTGCCACCATAAGAGATTTTTCCATAAATAGAACTGAAAACAGTCTTCATAATATTGTTTGTACTGATTGCCATTAAATTTCTTTTTTTAATTAGAAGTTTTATAATAATGTTAAGATATTCATGAAAAAAAAAATTTTTTTTTTTTTTCTCATTTTCCGACTTTTTAATAGAAAAAAACCATTGACTTTGTAATATGCTTTACTGACAGAAGAGAAAATAAGAAGAAAAAAAAAAAGGATAATTTTTTGTCAGTTAAGGACATATTTCTTCATGTTATTAAGTTCTACGCAATAGAAAATAATAGTCGTAAATTCTCCTATAACTGGCAAAGAAATTTTTTTAAATTCATCAATTCAATGATTTGAAAATATTAGTATTTATCGATTCAATAGAATTTTAGTTAATTTTAAATTCAATGTGCAATTTCATATAAAACATCTATTGCAACAAAAAGTACGAAAACGAATAATTTTATTCAAAATCTGGTTCATTAAGTAAATAATCAGCTTTTTCATCGTTGGCTTCTTCTTTTTCACGTACTTTTGATTGCATAAGTGTATGTTCTAATACAGCTATACGAACATCAACACGAATTATATCACGATTTAATTCTTCAATAGCTTTTTTGATTTTAACCAAAGGACCTAAAATAAAATTCAATTTTCGATTAACTTTCGTGATATGAAAAAAAAAGACAAACCTCCATCTGTAACATTTTGTCCTGTTTCTTCCATTTCTTCTTTAATTTGTGTTAATTCAGCTGTAATTTGAGCTAATTGTTGAGATTTGTCTGTTATACCTGATGAACAATGACGATAATGTTGTTTAGCTTGTGCTAATAAATCTTGTTGTCGATGAAATTCATGTAAATAATCATTTAATTGAGAATTAATATATTGTTCACCTATACAAATGTACAAAAAAAAATAATTATTAATAAATAATTTGTTTGTTTCTTTTGTTACGTGTTATAATTTTTTCTAATGATTTAGCAATATCAGTATGAAATCTAGTTAACATTTGTTCAGCATCTTTAAGTGAAGTTGCAATTTGTGTTTTATATGTTAAACGTTGTTCTTGTCGTGAACGCCAATCTTTATTTTCTGCTTTAAATGTAACTTTAAGTTGTGGTAATATACGTTCAACTTCTAATTTCCATTCCGTTGCATCTGTTGTTGATTCCATAATTAATTCAGGACGAATTTCAGGTTCCGATATAGCAGCAGCACCAACTGCACTCGTTTTTAAACCTAATTTAGTTAAAGCTTCCATATTAAGTACAGCTTCATCTTCTTCATATTCATCAGCATCTGTATCCTAAATATAATAAGAATTTATTTTTTTTTTTTATATCATTCAATAATATTTATTAATTACTCTATTAAACATTTCTTCATCAATTTTATTAACATCAATTTCATTATCATCATCTTTAGGACCGGAATCATCAGCATCAGGTAATTCATCAGGTTTTTCAGGCCTAATAATAAAACATATAAACATATTATTATAAATATTAACTTACATTCGCCAATTAAAACCAGTTTTTTTAAGTGCATCATCAGCAAGTCGATTAAGAATGTAGACAACAGGTTCACCAGAACCAGAACGAAGTTTACTTGCACTTATAGTTATATCATGACCCTAGAAAACAATTTTATTCAATCGATTTTATAGATAACTAATTCAACTTGATTTTATTAATATTCAATAATATTGTTTGACTTTATAGAAATATTTTATTTGATGAAATTATATTTTTCTGCTTAAAACTCGATCAACTAATTAGAGTTTTTATAATTATGCGCTAATTATTGTCTCTTATAGAAAAATATTTTCTAAAAAATAATGTTAAAAAGATAACATCTCACTTGGATTTCATACAAATAACTAAACTAAAAGTTTTACAATCAGAATAATATTTATTCGAATATTTAGGAAGAAAAGGCTGGTATAACTCTTCTCTTTTCTCAATATAAAAACAATTATAGTATTTATCTTAAAGAATTGATCCATATAATGAACTAAAAATATCTTTTTATATGATAATATTAATGTTGTATTCATTTCAATTTTAAAATTATTATATTCAAATCATTTTATATTTGTTAACTGACAAAAAGCTTTTTTTTTCATAGTGTTGCATGAAGAGTTTTTTTTTTTCTTTAAATAAGAAAAATAGTTGAAACAATATTCTTGTCAATTGAATAATACATAAAGATGACTTACTAGTTTCTTAAATTGTGCAATTATATTCTGAAGTAAGACACTTTGATCATCATCCTATAAATAAAAAAAAATCAAAAATAAAAACAAATAGTTTAATATAAAACCTCGCTTGGTTTATCAAATCTAAGACCACCTTTTTGAAAAAGCCATGCTGAAAGAGCAATAAATGCATGTAATTGATCTCCTGGATTTGTTGATACAGCAAAATGTATTCGTGATATTGGTTTCATTCTCCATTTCATAACATAATCATCATCATAATTAAGTAATTTTAATTTATTATATAAATTCGCCATATCAACAAATACTTGAAAACCTGCTCCTGGACTTACATCAGGTACTTCTGTACTAGCAACACTTTTTCCTATATCGTCACTCATTTAAATATTCAATAAACGTAGAAAAAAATAATTCTAATTTCTTCCATTGAGTCAAACATTACTCTTAAGAACAACCTTCACGAAATAAAAATGAACGTCATCTAGCATATATTATCGAAGAAGATGTCGCTTACATTTTCAATTATGTTTAATAATTAAAACATTAACAAAAAAAAAGAAATAAATTAATTGTTTTAATGATTAGAATAAATATAATTTAGAAAAATTTATTTTTAATAAACCAATAGATAAATGATTTGATGAAAAACTAACTAACTAACAGCTGTTGTTTATTTATTTCTATTGTTTGATTATAATTCTTAGTTTAATAATATATATTGTCTTAAAAGATAATTTATTAAATAATGACATTAAGTGAATTAGAAGAAGAAGCTCGTAAACGTAAAGAACGTCTTACACAATGGAAATTAAAAAAACAAAATCAAACAATTAAACGAAAAGAATATGATGA